TGGATTCTTCCAGTAAAAACACTGACAAAGAGACACTCCATCAGCCTACGAGACACTTGAATAAGAAGCATTAGCAAGCCAAGGAGAACTGAAGCGCATTGGACTTGGTCAGTATCTTTTGTTAGTAATAGTGAAGCAACTTTTTGGAGCCATGTTGGATTTTCTCCTCTTGTGAGAACAGAAGATAGTAATATAAGACAACAGCATACACCAACAAAGTAGAAGTGAGTGAACCAACTGAAAAAAGGGATACAACATTGTTATGAATATCCAATAGTGTCCTTCACAGAAAGCTGTGCATGAGCATGCAATGCACTCTCTCAGGCCATCATGCAACAATCTAAAGTCAGTGCCACCTTTCATTGCACACTGTGAAGGAAATTAGATTGGCTCAATAGCTATACATTAGATAAATTATAGTAACTGATAAAATATATGTAAACATAAACAATTGAACAAATGGATGGAAATTAAAATAAAAGGAAATGTGAGAAATCTCATTTTGACAAATAAGATTGTCAAAAGGGCGATCGGCCCCAGGAAATCGTACCATTACCAAAACACTAACGTTCATCAAGTTGATGAACGATGGTGCTTTGGTAATGGTTCGATTTCCTGGTACGGCCAMTGCCCGCATTATCGGGTGTTTATTCTCAAACACAGGAAGTATGTACATCAATCAATATGCTTTCAACTATTTTACCTGTTGGGAACATAAAGTAGGCGATCAAGAAGTGATGTAATYTTTTTATGAGAAAATGTCTTGCCATAGAAAATCAAGCCGTGAAAAAAATTGGGAATGAAATCTTGGAAGAAGTGCAAAATGACCACGACAAAATACCCGACATTGAGAAATATCCATCCAAAACGAAGAAAGTCAATATTTTCAGGCATAAAACTAAGTATCTTGCCTTCCATGTTTAAGATTCTACTAGTCCAGCGTTTCCATGGAAAAGTTCAACGAAACGTAAAAAAGTAATCCCGGCCAGATTTACGCCAGTCTGAGCCTGTAGTATGAGATGACAGCGGGTACTAGTATCCATGACACATGCGCAATCCACGTGTACTTTTCGAAAAGCCACTTTCAGCAAAATAAAGCAAGATTTTGGAGGAAATTTGAAGGAAAAATAACCAAAATGGTGATAATGACAATGATAGGCCGTGTTAGAGACGGCTTGCCTCTCGCTGCGTCCATGCCAAGCGATCAAGAAGTAAGTTTGTATATTTTTTTGGATGCATTTTCGTCTCTTATATTCAATATAACTTGTCAAAATCTCAAGTCTGACCAACAATTTAAAGTAACAAACTAGATTACGCTTCATTTTATTCGTGTAGGMTTAGTTTATTAGCTTTAGCATTAAAGAGGATTCAATACGCAGATATGTAGCTGTTGTTTTACTATCATAGCTGTTGCTTTCAGCTAATAAAGGCTTAAATTATGCATTGCTATACTAGCATGTATTACATTATAATGTACTTGTAAGTTTACGCATGAGCCTAGACTAACAACTACATAGTGACTTTGTCAAGATATGCTCGTGGTTTTGATGGGCTAAGAGCTACCAATCAATTCCCCATGGCATCCGCAACAACKTTTTAGATCCAACTCTAATGAAGAAAGTCATTTCACAACTATTCTTTTAGATTGTACAGTGTTAATAATTCTAGATTGTATTTTTTTGGGGGGAGGGGGGTGGGGGTGGGGATTGTATCCTGCTGTCACCCATTGTGCAGCAATAGACCTTCTTAGCGGCTAACGTGYTGTAATAAATATACCTTACGTTATGCAGTTCCATTCTTATATTTACAACTTA